ATCACCAAAAAAAAAAAAAATCCATGGGTAGCCTTATGGAGGCTTATAGAGTGCTGCAGGGGGCTGGGGGGAACAAAAAAACAGGTTGTTTTTTTGCTCATTTCTGCTCTCCCCAGCCCCAGGAGCACTCTGAAAGCCTCCATAAGGCTATCCATGCATTTTTTTTTTAATGAAAATGCACGGCTATCTTGGTGAGGATGGGGCTTCGGGAGGCAAAAAAAATATATGCTGTATTTGGTGTATAAGACGCACCCAGATTTTCAGCCTCTTCTTTGAGGAAAAAAGGTGCATCTTATACTCTGAAAAATACGGTAGGTCTACAAATCAGCAAGAACATTATTGTTTCAAGCAGATATCTGTATTTATGAAAAATAGTCAAAATGAAGGAATTGGTCTGGGTTATTTTTTTTAATATTTTTATAGTTTTGTTTAAAGAAAACCCATAAAGATGAACATAAACTAATAAAATTGAAAATAAACAAATAAAAAACAAAAGTCCAAAAAGAAAGAAAAGAAATATAAAGAAGAAAATTTCAATGTCCTTTGAAACAAATTCAGTTATAAATACAATTACATTATTATCTATTACTCCATGAATACAAATAAAATTCGCTCCTTTCTACAATCTGGGTTATTTCTAAAATTCTATCTGAATTTTATAATCTTTGAAGTTCTATTCATTTATAGACCTTCCTGATTTAAAATTAAAGAATTCATTTGTAGATAAAATATCCATCTTTATTAAGTAATTTTGTATGTGCAGACAGCCAGTTTATCCTTAAGAATAAAACAATAAGAATCTAAAAAATGTTAATCATCTAATCAAAATTCATATAAATTAGATGGTGGATGGTATAAAAATATCTTAAAATATTCAATTGAATATTCAGTCTCATTAAATATTTATATCAAGATGTACCTATGTGTATTTATTTTGCTTAATGGCACCCCTAGTAAATATCATTTTTTATGTTTGATTTTTTTAAAAAAGAAACTGATTAATTACAGATTTTAATTGGGATTTGACATTTATAGAATCCTGAACAGTTGTGATCATGCCTATGTGATTGCCTTCTCCATAGAAATCCATGTGTATATTTGTCCAACATTCTGTGGACATTCAATTGATATCAATCAGCTATTATTTAGAGACACTCACCCCAGAGATAATACAGATTCCGATTATGTTAATGATTAGTTGATATGTAATATAACAGTTTAGATTTTATAATAACCATGGGCATAATTAAATTATTTTACTAGCTGGATACCTATGCTCCACTATGAAACTATGTGATCAGGCTTGATAAATCACTTACAGCTTGAAAATTAATGAGTCGTTACGACTGGCTTCTCCTCTCCCCTTCTCTTCCTCAGAGTTGCCCCACGGAAGCTTCTCTCCTCTCCCCTTTTCTCCCTCAGGCTTGCCCCACAGAGGTCTCTCCTATCTTATCCCCTTCTCTCCTTAACTAACTCCTTAACTTAAGAACGTTTTTCAGATGGGGAAGGGGAGAAGAATGTCTAAATTCCCAACCCGCAGGCCACTTGAGTCATGTGCTGGTCATGCCCATGCCCAAGTGGCCGTTGGAACAGAATTCTTGTTAGGTGGGGAGGGGGAATAGAATGTCTAACTCCTTAGCATAAGAGCATATTAATAATAATATAAGAAATACTAATGATATGATGGTCATTTGAAAAATCTTTTCCAAACCAGCACCTGGAAGCCAAGAGGAACATACATGCCAAATTTCAAGTTTGAAGGCTTTACGGTTCTGGAGACTTTGTGATGCTGCATAAGTCGTATTTCACTTTTATAAATATAGATTTGGTAATTGTTTTAATTGTATTATTTCATTGAATGTATATGTATTTTTAAATTTTATGTATATAGTCTAGGATTGGACTGCACGATTCACACAATGTAAAATATTTAAATAAATAAAGGTAGATAAATAGGATCAATAAACAGATGAATAATATGGATTTGTTTTTAAAAATATGACTTCAATAAAATGAATTTTATTCCAATATTGAGGACTCAACAAAGAGAATTGGATTTAGTGGACTAGTCATTGAAACTAAATGCATTTCACTGCCTAGCTGAGTGTCTTAAACCTGGCATTCATTTCTATTTTTATTTCTTTATTTGTAATTCACCCCCCCCCTCCAGTTTGAATAGATCTATCATATTGGTTTGGATTAATATATACTTCTACATTAACCAGAACTATACAAAGCAATTACTTTCTTACTTCTATTTCCAGAGATTCATGCAGCTTCTTGCAGGTAGCAGAGAAAGTTTCAGAAGTGCCAAATTCAAAATACCAAAATTTATTCTTCATTCTGAAATATGAAAGAGGAAAAAAGGAAAAAAAGAAACATCAATAACTGATCATTAAACTTCTATCATAAATAATCATAACATCTGACACTCATTCTGAAATGGATGAGCTCATAGTTTTCAAAAATTTAAATGTGACTATCAGGAGATATATACCCCTCCCTATGTATAAAAAAGTGTTTTGTAGCAAAGATTGATTAAATGTTTTAGGCCTTTTGGCAACTGCTGATTAGCCAAAGTGAGGTTTTTCAAGCTTACTATTTTATGTTTTATGTATTATACCATCTAACTTTATTTCTTACACTATCCAAAATTTAGTTGCAGGGTGTATCATCATAAGAGAGGTGGAGTAAAATGTAATTCCCTAAGCAAATGTTGTAATTTATTGTTTGTTATGGCAAATATTTAAAAAAGAAAAAAGTCTACTTCTACATTTCCAAAGTATTGGTTGTAAAGGGATATTGATTAGAAATTTAAATTATGTAATATAATTCAATCAGAGATTGAAATGTTTTAAAAGTTAAAACCTAATAAAACACATTGTATGTTATTTTGCATTACGTGTATGTATGTATGTGTATGTATGTATGTATGTATGTGTATATATATAATATTCATTCAAATAGAGTTTTATATAATAAGTCAGTGACCAGTTGAAACCTTATTATTTGCCATTTGTCCTCTATTTACTGCTGAACTTTAAAATGCAGTTTAGGTTTTAATGAACTGGTTATTGAATAGAAAAAATCCAGTTCATGGCCAATCTTCGTTCCTACATACATGTGTTATCACAATCTATGCACATAAAAATATCAAATTGATATATTAGATGTACTTCATGTTTTATACTGACTTGTAAAGTTAAGTGTATTTCATGTATTAATAGTGTAATCACTGGCCTTGGTAAAGGTATGCATCATAGTACATCTTTACTGTAATGCAATAGTTCTATACAATTCCTTCTGTTGTGGCAAAATGAACCCTCTTTCCCCACCTTGTGGCCCACAAGTGATTGACCCAAACTTGGTTCATTTTTAGTTAAAATATTCACAAGAGTTTTTAGCCCATTCTCAGTTGAGCTTTATGCTACCCAAGCATTCTCAAGAGATTCCAAAAAGCTATATATGAATAGAAACAGAATTCCATTAATAATTATAAGGGAAATTCAATCATTTTTACGAATGACCTACTTTACTTTCCCGAAGATCAGATCCTTCAAATATTCTCCACTTATACATTCATTTAAAAGCATGGAAAACATTTTTTTGTTACCGAACATAATAGCGGTTTGTAACTTTTCTGCTGCTGTACCCAGGAATAAAAAGCTAACTAGGAAAGTCCATTTAAGTGGCAAATACCTCTAAACCAGTTGTCCATCTAAACCTTTGTTCTTTAGAGCTGGCATTTTTCTTTGTGATATTTCTACTTCACTAGAATTTTTTTCTATGTTTGTAACTTTGTTGTCCTTTTTAAAAGGGGGGGGACACTTAACTGAATATTTTTCCTCTAGATAATGACATTTTCATGGCCTTTTGAGATAAAACGGAAACATAAGCATTTCTAGAGGTTGTGTGATATGGAGAATTTTATCCCAATCATGATCTTTTTTATTTCTGATATTTTCAACTCAAACATTTTTTATACCAGCCTATCCATTGTTAGATTAATGTATACAGTTTTCTTTATTTAATATCAGTTAAAGAGGTTATAAAGAGTCCTAACTTTTTAATATGCCTGTTCCTAAGAATCCAGTGTTATTTATTCAGTACAAAACTGCACTCTTTGAAGAAGGCCTTTTCATATTCATATGCTTTCAGGATCAAAATAATTTGTGATAATTAAATATGCCAAAACCAGCTATGGATGTATTCAAAAGTACAAAAGTTATATAAAAATGTTTAGAAAAAGATTGCAACATTATACAATATTTAGTAAGTGAACCCCAAAGTGTTCAGACAAAAGTAGTTTTAAACTAAAAAACACTTTTTAATGTATAGGACTTCTTAGTAAAATGGTTTACATCTTCTAACCAATCACATATCCCATTGGCTCAATCTAAAATGTCTACTATTTGCATATAATTCTTGGCAGCCTAATTTTCCTCTTATAATCCTACAACGCCCTGTATATAATGTTTGTGCATTTTATAAAGATTATTTATATTGAACTTTATACAAATTATACACATCATAGATTAATTTATTACCCTCAATTTACCCTCAAATATACCCCCATTTGTCAAGCACATATTGCCTGTAACACATGATGACTAGATATGCACAGTTTACAGTCCATTGGACTATACAGCCTAGTAATAACAATTATAGAAAGGGCTTTGCCTCAATTGCATGATATTTGTTTACCTTTAAAAGATCCCAATTCAACTATTGCAATGAAATTTAACTCTCAAACAGATTTTTGGACAACTGCTACAAATCAGTTCTGAATTAGATGAATCAATAGTCTGACATTTAAAAAAATGCTTATTGTCTTATGTAATGTATACAATAAATCCTCAATCTTGTTAGTATCGTCTCAGTTTTGAAATGCAATATATTATATTTTATTGTAGCTAAACAATACTTTAGAAAATTAGAATATGCATATTAAAGAAATATTTAATTCAGTTAACCTGACATTCAAAAGACACAAAGTTTCTGGTAGGTTTAGGTGATGTGATTGACATTAGGTAAAATTAAGCCCATTTGGTTTTCACTAATAAAATAGGCTGTGGTGCAGCTTTGCATTATGATGTTAATTAGAAAAAACCCCACTGTTAAAACTATTCTATATAACCTTTCTGATTAAGCAATTAGATAGCATATCATTAGAAAAAAATTGCCCTGATTCTAAATATGGAAATGATATTTTTTTTATTATACACCTGATGAACACATAAGTACTGTATCATAATGTGCAAAAGAGAATTTTAATTCTGTACATAATGATTAGTTTAGTTATGCGTTTTATCCAAAATCAATTGACCAATGAGGTCATATGACAAAATGGTTTTTAAAAATATCTTCTCAAATGCTGTTTGCACAGATTGCACAGATACTTAATTTATGGAAACTTGAATTTGGCAGCATTTAAAGGACTACACGATGTAGTTATAATTCTTCATTCTTTTAAACACTTGAGCCTTGACCGAGATATATTTGCAAAATAAATAAATAAATCCTTAAATCATAAAACTTTACAATTAGCAATTTCCTTGAGAAATATATTTTTCTCAGAACATGTCAGAATAATAAAGCAAATATCTAGAGCAGCTGTTTCTTCTTAGAAAATCCCATAAAGTAGCTCTTCCTTAAGTTGATAGGTGATGGATTCTAGTCCAACACATCTGGAAAGCACTAGATGGGAAGCAGCTTTCACAACATTATTTTCCATTCAGAATAAGAGACTAGGGTGGGATAATTGAAGAATGAGTGATGGAAATTTGGTAGGTATGTATTAGTACAGACTAATCTCCATTCTGAGTTTTCATCTCATGCCATACCGAAGCAGAAAAACAATTGTCTGTGACTTTATTTGTCTTTTTATTCATCATATAGCCAAATAGATAGATGATAGATAGATGATAGATAGATAGATAGATATACACACACACATACACACACACACATACATACATAATACATACAAACACACACACACACACATATATATATATGTGTGTGTGTGTGTGTTTTATTTGTGCTGATAGATAGATAGATAGATAAATAAATAAATAAATAAATAAATAAATCTTTTATTTATATATATATATATATATATATATATATATATATATATA